CACCACCGCAGCCACCAACCATCACCACAGTGCAACCACCACCACCACCACCATCACGGTGCAATCACCACAACACGTGCTGTGATTTCGGCTTCCGCCACGATGTTCTAGGATGTTGCTCATACCCGCACCCACCTCATGTTCTCGTGCATAATATCCACCCCCGTCTTTTCTTTTCAGAGAGACTTGAAGCGAACTGAAACCCGCGTGGCCTCCAAGGTTCTGCAATTGCGCATGCACAAGCACACATTGACACAGCACTGCCTTACGATGCAGCAACCGAATCCCCCACCCCCTCACACCCCCCGCCAAGAACGGGTATACCTTCTAACCCCACCGCAACACAACCATCGCAATGCCAAGGGTTCCTTCTAACGGGAGCAGGCAGTTGCAAGTATGCGCGCAGCAGCAAGGCGGCGGCAGCAGTAGCAGCAGCAGCAGGGTGGACGACATGCTCCATCTGCTGGAAAGATGGACCCTGGATGAAGACAGTGCAAAGTATGCCAAAGTGCTGCGTGTGCAGCGAGAACTGGAAGATGACTTGCAGGCCGCACAACAACAGCTTGCCGCTTTAAAGGCGGGACATGACGAGATCAGGGCGATGCATGCGCAGGCACAGGTGGAGAGGATGAAGGCGGAGGTGGAGAGGGTGAAGGCGGAGGTGGAGAGGGTGAAGCGCCATGTTCAGCGAGTGAAGGAGATGGAGGACCTGTTCAAGAAACGCATCAATGACAAGAAAGGCGAGATCCGCAATGCACGGCATGAAAGATGGAGGACAGAACTGACAGGACCCGGCAACGGAGAAGCGGTTGCAGCGGCGGAGACGAAGGTGAAAGAGAAAGAGCGGGAATTGGCCGTGCTTGAGGAACAAAAGAAGATATGGCGCAAGCAGATGGAGGAGGAGAGGAAGAACGGAGAGGAAGAGAGGAAGAAGTGGCAGCAACAGCAGCAGCAACACAAAGTGTGGGTGCGCGCGTTGACGACATTGCTGCAGGCGGCAGGTGAGCCGCTGCCACACACCACAAGTGCCGAGCACCTGTGGACTGTGGTGTCGCAGGTGGTGGACGACGCCCTGGCGACAGCGTGGGAGGCCGGCCTTGTGCCCGCTGCTGGCCCGCCCCGACTGGCCACTATCACTTTATCTGCTCTCCAAGCTATCGAGAAGCGCGTTGCGGAGAAGAAGATCAGCTCACCTGCCGCGATCAGAGACGGTATGCTGTCATCCACCTCTTTGTGTGTTGTCGTGCGGATGTGGTGATGAAGACGGCCCTGCTTGTTTTGGTTGTCTTGATGACACAAGGTCAAGCGTGCACCTGTTTGCGCCTGTGTGTGTGTGTGATGTTTTGCGTTGATGTCACACAGCGCACAACACGTTTGCTTGTATCGTCGTTGCCTTTGTCACTGCTACTGCCACTGTAATTATCGCTGCCTTTGTCACTGTGTCGCAGTTACTGTCGTTGGCATTTGCATTGGTAGCCTCCACCACCATAGTCACGCATGCGACACATTCACGCTTGTTTTGACACCTCTCCGCCCCTCATGCGCGCTGATTGCACTGCTGTGTGTGTGTGTGTGTGCGTGCAGAATTCTTTCTTCACGACGCCACCCAGCAGCATCACCAAGCCCGAGAAGAACCCGTATCTCGTCTACTGGCCGGACAATGCCCAGTTCTTCACCGACATATGGCGAGAGCCACTCGCAAAACAGGTGCTGCAATGCAATGACATCCGTCGCCGCTGCGCTGTGTGTGCGGGCGGTGCTGGTGGAACAGTAGTGCTGTGCTCATTTCTGTGAACGTGCATGTGCGTGTGTTTGTGCGAGCGAGAATATATGAGTGCGACTGTGTGCTTGTGTGTGTGTGTGTGTGTGTGTCATGTGCTTGGTGGCATTATCATCACCACCCATCACTAAACGACGTGCCGCCATATGTGCACTCCTCCCTATGCCTCTCACCAACCGCTCGTCCCGCACGCCTTTGTGTCAACACACTCGTGTGTATGTGCATGTGTGCGTGTGTGCATGCGTGCTTGTTTTCGCGTTTCCAGTTTGAGCTGAAGGCTGATGACATCACGCCGCAAGCAGTGATTGCAAAGATTCACGAAATACCAGTGCTGGAGGTGTCCAGCAGCCGTGGGCCCCGCCCCAGGGGGCGCCAAGTGACGCTTGGCCTGCGACAAGGTAAGGACGTGGCGAAGACTGTTGTTGCCTGTGTTTGCACTGCTTTCAGTTTTAGGTGCACGTGCAGACACGTGTACTTGGCCTTGGAGCGTTTGTCAACGTCGTCATCATCATGTGGTGTTTGGTCGTGTATTGCCGATGTGTGCGCAAGCGCACATGAAGGGTTGTGATGTGAGATGTGATTGTGACACCATCGTGCAATGCGTGCACGCTTACATCTCACCCCTGCCTATACACACACACACACACACACACACACACACCGCTTGCTCGCAGGTCTGCCTTTGCCAAAAGCACTGCCAACAGGATGGTCCAATGAAGCGGAGATGTGCACCGATATCGCCGAGCACCTTCGCGCCACGGCTGCGCACCTCGACCCCGGTGTCACGTTCCCGAGTGAGGTCCCAATCATGACGTACGTTGTGCGGTGCATGTTGTGTCCAGGCGTTGGAGGGGTGGGGAGTGGGTGTTTGCTGTATCCTTGTTTCCGCTCTCTTGCGTGTCCTGTGATGCTTGTGATGCTGCAAATGCCGGTTTCTTACAGGGAACCTGCCCGTGCTCTTGTCGCGCTTGCCGCCTTGCGTTGGCCAGGTTCAAGCCAGGCACCCGCCCCAAAACAGACATTGTGATGGTGGACCGTCACACAAACACAATAGCGGCCGTGTTTGAGCTCAAGCTAGGCGAGGATGCTGATTCGCTTGGCCAGTTGGCAGCGTACGCACACCACGCGATTGTGGCGAACGTGCTTTGCATTGCAGGCGAGCACGTGCCTCTGGAGGAGCTGCCCCTGCTCGCTGGGCTGGCGATGTTTGGGCTGCGTGTCAGCCCGGTGCAGACCACCGTTGTTGAGTTTATGGTGGCCAACGCCGGTGGAGTGGTGAAGGTGGTTGCCCACAACATCATCTCCATGCCGACGAAGAACATTGGGCAGGCTGCTCTGGCCATTTCCTGCTTTGCGGACTTCCTGCACGCGAAGTACGCCCACGCCATCAAGCAGAACACCAAGCATGGCAGCGACTTTGCGCTGAATGTCATGAAGCCCCATGTGCTGCACTTCAACCCCGACAGCGGCAAAGGTGTGTTGTTTGCTGCTTGCTCGTCTGCGTCTGTATGTGCGTGTGTGTGCCTGCGTGTGTATGTGTGCACATGTGTGTGTGTGTGCATGCATGCGCCTGTCTCTCTGCCATCTCTCTCTGCTTCTGTCTGTGTGTGTGTGTGGTTGAAAGGCGGTCACTGTGCAGTGTTCTCTCTGCCATCTCTCTCTGCTTCTGTCTGTGTGTGTGTGTGGTTGAAAGGCGGTCACTGTGCAGTGTTGTATGCACAATTGCGCCCGTGCCTGTGCTCGTGTGTGGTGTGATTCACATGATGCTGGTTGTGCTTATCGCTGTGCTGTCAGCAGAGGCACCGAAAGTGCTCAGTTCCGTCGCCAACAAAGGGAGCGGATACGTGTGCAAGTTCATCAAGACTGGGCACCGTGCTGGCGACTTGTGTGCTGAAGAGATTGAGAACATGTGGAAGTACGTCAACGGGCAACGCGCTTGCAGTCGCATCCCCGCCACCAACAGCACCGCCACCACCAACAGCAAGAGCAGCACCACGAACACCACCAGCAGCAACATCATCAGCAGCAGTGGCAACGACACGCAGATGATTGCGGTGCCCCACCTCGGGTCGACCCGCGCTCACATTCACGAACAGCACGTGGTGCAGCTCTGCAACAGCTTGTTTCTCCTGTCAGCGGCTGGTCTCGTTCACCATGACATTCGCTGCGCCAACGTGGTCGTGAGCGGCGACAAAGCCTCTCTTATCGACTTCGAACTGGCTGGCTGTGACGCCGATGTCATGGAGGCAGCGGAACTCGAGCCGGCTGAGGTTGCTCTTCGCACGGACCTGCCTGAGCGGTCAGCACGCATCCGTGCAGCTGGTG